ACCCAGTGGAGCCTCCGACGGCCAGTCTACGGTCTCCGCCAGGCACCGCGTGAGTGGCACGACACACTGAGGACTACGCTTGCGGCTCTTGGGTTTTCTCCTTCTACTGCTGACCCGTCGCTGTTTCTGCGCACCGACACTTCTCTGCCGCCGTTCTACATCCTCGTGTACGTCGACGACTTGGTCTTTGCCACAGCGGACACTGCTGGACTCGCCTACGTGAAGTCCGAGCTGCTGAAGAGACACACGTGCACAGACCTGGGTGAACTGCGCAGCTACCTTGGCTTGCAGATCACTCGGGACAGAGCACGCCGCACCATTACTTTGACTCAGTCACACATGGTGCAGCAGGTCCTTCAGCGCTTCGGCTTCACGTACTCCTCGCCTCAGGCCACTCCTCTGCCTACTCGCCACTCACTCTCAGCTCTGCCTTCGGATGAGTCCGTAGAGTCGAGTGGTCCGTATGCAGAGCTTGTTGGCTGCCTCATGTACCTGATGACCTGCACACGACCTGACCTTGCATACCCTCTGAGCATTCTTGCACGCTATGTTGCTCCTGGTAGACACCGACCAGAGCACATGGCTGCAGCAAAGAGGGTATTGCGCTACCTGTGCAGTACGTCGGGCATGGGGCTAGTGCTTGGAGGGCGGAGTCCAATGGTCCTTACAGGCCACGCGGACGCTTCTTGGGCTGACGACCAGGCTACGCAGCGGTCGTCTCAGGGTTACACCTTCAGCCTTGGTTCCGGCTCTGTCTCGTGGCGGTCTACTCGCTCGTCTTCGGTTCTCGGCTCGAGTTGTGAGGCTGAGATCTACGCCGGGGCCATGGCTGCACAGGAGCTTCGCTGGCTCACCTACCTGCTGACTGACTTTGGAGAGCCGCCTCGTTCTCCTCCAGTGCTTTACGTAGACAACAAGGCCATGCTGGCCTTGTGTCGAGAGCAGCGCTTGGAGCACAGAACGAAGCACATTGCTCTCCGCTACTTCCTTGCTCGTGAGCTGCAGCAGCGTGGTCAGTTGCGACTTGCGTACGTGGCCTCTGAGGCCAACACTGCTGATGTGTTCACCAAGGCACTTGTGCCTTGTGACCATCAGCGCTTTTGTACCCAGCTGGGTCTTGTGCCTGTCTTGCCTCACTTGCTCTCTTCTTGACTTTACTTGTACTGTGACATATATATACCTGCTCTTGCTTGTCTTGCTTTATATATATGTCTGTACTCTTGCATGTGAACTGGCCTTTGGCCTTGCTCTTGTGCTCGGACTGTGTGGTGACTTTGTGATCCACCCCGAGCTTGTTTTGCTTTGCTTGACTGGTCTTGTGACCCCTTGTTCTCCCCCACTTTGCCTATGGGGGTGTGTCAGAACATATAGCTTACCTGTTTGTGTAGGCTACAGCGGGGTATCCCATAGGGGGTACAACCCACTTAGGGTTTGCTATTTGTACTCATTTCTGACTTAGTCATTTCATTCCTGTTTCCTAATTTCACACGTCGTATGTCGGGGTCGAACAGCCAATGGCCTCGAAGTAGATCTCGAGGATTGCCACGAAACGCCGGACGTCGGATCCCTTTGCGCTTGGATCGAACGCTTCCGGGAGCCTCGGTCGTGCTGCTTCGAGGTTTGGCGTTGGTGGTGCCATTGGGCCGTGAAATATCAGTGTCGCCACTGCTGCTGGAATTGTCGATGCTGCAGTGGTTGCAGTCGCTGCTGCTGTCGTGGCGAGCGCCGGGTGGCTTGTTAAAAAAGCCTCGAGTCGACGAAGCGTCACCTGCGTCTGCTCCATGTCAGTGCGGAGGCTCGCGACGTTGCTCGTGGTCGCGTAGTTGTCGCCCTGGCCTTCCATTTAGCGATTTATAGGAAGATTTGCGACCAAAATATATGAATTTAAGGCGCTGGTCATCTTACTATGAGTCGAGTTGACTGCAGAAATGACGAGGGCTGTTTCTGTAGGTCGCAAATCTCCCTTAGTCAAAATTTGCGTCTGATCTCGGCCGTTGAGAAGAAATTCGATCCGATGCTCCAAACTCCAACTTTTTTGGGCGAAATTCTCAGGGCCGTTGAGATTCGAATCGATCCGACGGTCGAAATTCCAACTTTTTTGCTTCTGGACCTGAGGAGTGTTCAAAAACCGGTTCGAGGGGGACGTTAGAAAATAGCGCGGAACTGGTTTACGTACCCGAAATCAGCGCTTCCCGTCGTCGCCCCCGCGGTTTTAAAAGCTAGGTTTTAGCGGTCGAAAAACTTCGCTTATAAACAGGCTCTGATTACCAAGTGTGAGGATCTAGGATCGAGCTCAGAAAAGAGAATGAGATTGAATATGATCACCTGGTATAGGCGCGACACAAAGCCCCGTAACCAGGTGTTACGCGAAGGTTCCGTGGGTCGCGTAGCGTCCCGAACAGATCCTTACCGAATTCGATAAAAGGCAATTCGGTGGCAACCGAAAAGGCCAGAATTCGGTGCACGCAACCTAGCTCGGTGCTAAAACTATAATGAAATATAGGAAAGCACCTAGCCTAGGAAATCAAGCAATTCATGTATGCATATGATTATCCTATGCTAGAAATAGCATAATAAAGTAGAGGCAAGCAAGCATAGCTGGCATAAGCCGTCATAATCTCACAGTTTACCATGCAATTCAGCCTTGATAATTTGTCAGAGCAATGAGGGATGGGGATAAGGGAAGTGAAGAGACTACCACCTGAGATTGCGCATACATCCTCCACGCACCTGTTCTCATGCACCCATGCTCCAGTGCACACCCCTGCACCCATGCACCCCTGCACCCATGCACCCCTGCACCCATGCACCCATGCACCCATGTGCCCATGCACCCCTGCACCCATGCACCCCTGTACCCATGCAACCGTTCTAACGCCCATTCACTAACAGGCAGTATAGAGCATCCATGGCATGCCATGATGCCATGACGCCATGATTCCAATATGCAATGACACCTTTATTGAATATGGGGAAAGTTCCTTCAAGTCAATTTGTGCGTCGAGATAAAAAGACACTCCCTCCAGGCAATTGAGAAGCAGAATTAGGCTGGTGGCGTTGGGGGAAGATGGGGAAGGAGGAGGGTTCAGTACAGAGCAATTTCATTCCATGAGATGCCATTCCATGCCATTTATTCTCATCGCATCCCACCCCAACCATCCCATCCCATCCCATCCCATCCCAAGTTACCGCATGCCACCCTACCCCACCCCACCCCACTGCACCTCACTTGGGGAGGCTGTTGCTGGGAGCAACCGTGACAGGACTGAAATCCGTGGTGGGGTCAAGGCTGGTGAGGCTCCTCAATGGCAAACCATAAAAGGTAACTGTTTACACGGAGAAGCTCATATAAAGTATGAGGCTATGGCTTGACAAGGCCGAAGCTGCAAGGGCGAAGTTTGGATGGGGATGGGTGGGATGAAATGGGGATTGGTGGGATGCGATGGCATGGTGGGATGGGATGGAGATGCATGTGGATAATGAGGAACAATCAGCTAATTGCCCGCCCATCCTGCTCACCACGTCTCACCTCACTTCATTTCAACTCACCCCATCACTCTTTGCCAACCTAGGGACAGATGATCTTCATGCGTCCGTGATCCCTTTCCTGGTTACTACATTACTACTTCAGATTGCCTCCCCGTTTACCTGACTAAGCACCTGACCCAGCACCTGACCCAACACCTGACCCAGCACCTGACCCAGCACCTGACCCGGCACCTCACCCAGCACCTCACCCAGCACCTGACCCAGCATCTGGCCCTCCATGGAAGCCCACCTTTCCATAACAATGCCTACAGATGCCTGCGACACTAGAAGCAACACCTTGCAACACCTGGCATCACTTGAAATGGCATCACCTTACAACACCTGAGGGTTACCTGGTGGGGAGGGTTACAGGCATGGATGGAGGCATGGATGAAGGCATGGATACAGGCATAAATGATGCATGGATATAGGCATGGATGGAGGCATGGATGGAGGCATGGATGGAGGCATGGATGGAGGCATGGATGGAGGCATGGAGGGAGGTATGAATGGAGGTATGGATGGAGGTAGGGAAGGGATCATTGCAATAAAATGATAAGCCCCCCTGGCTGCAAAGGAAGCCAATGCACTTCAGCCACTCGGATCTCTCTGCTTGCTCAGAAGTTCGTTTCTCGCTCTTCCCTCTGCCAGCACTCTGAATCACTCCTTTGGCAAATGAATTTCACCTGGTGGCGCAGGAGATGGTGTGTCAGACAACATTCCTATGCCACCTAATCTCCAGGTTGCAACTTCTCTCCACACAAGACAAGGAAAGGTGCAATGGGGATTGGTCCACTCCCCATCCCAGCCCTACCACCCTCAGCCGTGCGAGCTCTCAAAACTGGACCACACTAATGCCACTCCCTCCTACAATAAGGCCATTGTTGACAAGTCCGCCTACCAGCAAGGTTGGCATGGGGATGGATCGCAGTACGGTATCCGACAGACCTGACTGGTCGTTGAGCAGCAGTGACAGCCCTGACTAGTTCTTAAGTTTACCCTGGTCCAAGCAGTTCAAGGAAGATGTAAGCAAGCTGCTGGCACAGTATAACAACAATACAATAACCAAGTTGACTTTTGAGTCGACTCTTGGCACACTATAACAGCAATACATTAACCATTACAACAATAGCAAGAATAGAATGGGATAGGAGTGAAGTCTATGCAACAATTAGTGCTGCTTAATCCTGGATGCTTGGAACGACAAACGGTTTTAACCGATAACGACAGACCTCAATGTCAGGGCTAAACGTTGGATATCTACGATGCATGAGATGAGCAGTGCTGGGATGAGCAGCGCTGGGATGAGCAGCTCTGTGCGTGGGATGGCTAGATGAGCCCGGCGATCGGGAGGAGCTTGGACGAAGCAGCACCGCTGGCGGTGCTCCATTAGAAGTGCTGCTGCGGCCATGCTCCTAGCGAGAGCTAGTCAGGGTGTGCCATTGTGAACCTTCCACTATTCTGGGAAAAGACTAATACGGTCCGCCCATCCCTCCGCCCATCCCTCCGCCCATCCCTCCGCCCATTTCTCTGCCCATCCCTCCGCCCATCCCTCCCCCCATCCCTCCCCCCATCCCTCCCCCCATCCATCCCCCCATCCCTCCGCCCATCTCTCCCCCCATCCCTCCGCCCATCCCTCTGCCCATCCCTCCCCCCATCCCTCCGCCCATCCCTCCGCCCATCCCTCCGCCCATCCCAGGTCCACCCTGGCCGGGTGCTGCCTGCGACCCTGGAGCAAACCACCCTGACCCGCCCATTCCTCCGCCGCCCATGCCTCTGCCGCCCATTCCGCCGCCTCCCATTCCGCCACCGCCCATTCAGCCTCCGCCCATTCCATCGCCACCCATGCCGCCGCCGCCCATGTTTCCCCCAGGACCCATGGCTCCTTGTGATCCGGGAGCAGACGACCCAGGTCCGCCCATGCCGCCGCCCATTCCGCCGCCGCCCATTCCGCCGCCACCCATTCCGCCACCGCACATTCCGCCGCCGCCCATTCCGCCGCCGCCCATTCTGCAGCCGCCCATTCCGCCGCCGCCCATTCCACCGCCACCCATGCTGCCGCCGCCCATTCCGCCGCCACTCATTCCGCCGCCGCTCATTCCGTCGCCACCCATGCCGCCTCCGCCCATTCCGCCGCTACCCATTCCGCCGCCGCCCATTCCGCCGCCACCCATGTTTCCCCCAGGACCCATGGCTGATTGCGAACCTGGAGCAGAGGAACCAGGTCCGCCCATGCCCCCTCCCATTCCGCCACCGCCCATTCCGCCGCCGCCCATTGCGCGGCCGCCCATTCTGCCGCCGTCCATTCCGCTGCCACCAATGCCGCCGCCGCCCATTCTACCACCGCCCATTCCGCCGCCGCCCATTCCGCCGCCACCCATTCCGCCGCCGCCCATTCCGCCGCCACCAGTTCCGCCGCCGCCTATTCCGCCGCTACCAGTGCCGCCGCCGCCCATTCTGTCGCCGCCCATTCTGCCGTCGCCCATTCCGCCGCCGCCCATTCCGCCTCCGCCCATTCCACCGCCACCCATTCCACCGCCACCCATTCCACCGCTACTCATTCCGCCGCCACCCATGCTGCTTCCGCCCATTCCGCCGCCACCCATTCCGCCGCCACCCATTCCGCTGCCGCCCATATCGCTTTCACTGATTCCGCCGCTCTGCTGCTGCTGCTGCTTCTGCTACTGCTGCTGGCCAGTCGGGCTTCCGCCTCGCGCCCATCCACGCATCACCCCCCGCAGCTTGTCCGCGCGGAGCCCCGCGGAGAAGCGATAGGCCAACGCCGCATGGAGAGACGAAACAAGAACAAGTGAGAGGAGGAGAAGGGCCGCGCTCAGGTCACGGCGACAACGGTGGCTCGACGAAAATGAGACCCTCTGCGCCATTGTGCTTGTGCACTGCCTAGAATGCAGCTAATATCTCCACGAAAAAAACAAATCTAGCTGTCCAGGAGCAATCTAGCTTCCTAGGAGCTTGGTAGTGAAGACACGGAAGCAGCTACAGAATCGGAAAGCTTGAAGTCCAAATGAGGCTCAGTGAATGTGATGATGAGTGAATAAATGAGTTGCCAAATGAGAAGAGTTGAACAAGAATGGAATGACTAAGTGAAAGTTGGGTACAAATACAAACCCTAGAAAGTTGTATCCCATATGTGCTACCCCACTATAGCCTATAACAGCTATGTCATATATATCTGACACACCCCCATAGGCAAAGTGGGGGAGAACAAGGGGTCACAAGACCAGTCAAGCAAAGCAAAGCAAAGCAAGCTCAGGGTGGATCACAAAGTCACCACACAGTCCGAGCACAAGGTCAAGGCCACAAGGCCAGTTCACATGCAGGAGTGCACATATATATATAACACTAAACAAGCAAGAGCAGGTATATATATATGCAAGAGTACAAGTAAGATCAAGAAGTGAGCAAGTGAGGTAAGACAGGTACAAGTCCCAGCTGAGTGCAAAAGCGCTGATGATCACAAGGCGGAAGTGCCTTGGTGAAAACATCAGCAGTGTTGGCCTCACAGGCCACGTACACAAGTCGCAACTGACCACGCTGGTGCAGCTCACCAGCAAGAAAGTAGCAGAGAGCAATGTTCTTCGTTCTTTGCTCCACGCGCTGCTCTCGACACAAGGCCAGCATGGCCTTGTTGTCTACGTGCAGCACTGGAGGAGAACGAGGCGGCTCTCCAAGGTCAGTCAGCAGGTAGGTGAGCCAGCGAAGCTCCTGAGCAGCCATGGCCCCGGCGTAGATCTCAGCCTCACAACTGGAGCCGAGAACAGAAGACGAGCGAGTAGCCCGCCACGAAACAGAACCGGAACCAAGACAGAAGGTGTAACCCTGTGACAACCACTGAGACGCCCGAACGTCAGCCCAAGAAGCGTCCGCGTGCCCAGTGAGGACCACTGGACTCCGCCCTCCAAGCACTAGCCCCATGCCCGACGTACTGCACAAGTAGTGCAACACCCTCTTCGCTGCAGCCATGTGCTCTGGTCGGTGTCTCCCAGGAGCAACATATCGTGCAAGAATGCTCAGAGGGTATGCAAGGTCAGGTCGTGTGCAGGTCATCAGATACATGAGGCAGCCAACAAGCTCTGGGTACGCGCCACTCGACTCTACGGACTCATCCGAAGGCAGAGCTGAGAGCGAGTGGCGAGTAGACAGAGGAGTGGCCTGAGGCGAGGAGTACGTGAAGCCGAAGCGCTGAAGGACCTGCTGCACAATGTGTGACTGAGTCAGGGTAATGGTGCGGCGTGCTCTGTCCCGGGTGATCTGCAAGCCAAGGTAGCTGCGCAGTTCACCCATGTCTGTGCACGTGTGTCCAAAAAGCTCCAGGAACGGCGGCACAAGTACCCTCAGCGGCCGAAGAAGCTCCAGCTCCAGCAGTACGCCTCCAGCGGCGAGCAAACCACTCGCGCAGCTCCTGTGGAGAGAGTGGCTCCCGCCGAGACGAAGCACCTGGAGCACGTCCACGCCCCGCACCGCCAGACGCCACAAGGGGAGGTCCAGTGGCCGCAGGCTCCGCAACTCCAGGCTCAGCAGCTCCAGACGCAGCACCCCCCGGCTCAGTAGCTCCTGATGTAGCACCCCCAGTCACAACACCCCCAGGCTCAACACCCCCAAACTCAGCACTCCCAGGCTCAGCACCCTCAGACTCTGCACCCCCAGGCTCAGCACCCCCAGGCTCAGTACCCCCAGGCTCAGCACCCCCAGTCTCAGTACCCCCAGGCTCAGCACCACCAGGCTCAGCACCCACGCGCGGAGCACCCCCACAGTCAGCACCCCGAGGCTCAGCACCTGCAGCAGGACCAGAGCCACCAGTAACGTCGACCGGCTTGACTGTGTCTACCTGGGACACACCTAAAGGGGAAGGACCCTGAGGGGGAAGGGGGTCTACCGGGGGGGGACCTAGCACAAGGAAGTGCGGTGGCGGGGGGAGGTAGGGAGTGTGGAAGGGGAAGAGGCGCTAGAAGAGGACTGACTCGTCGAACGTGACGTCCTAGGAGGACACAACACGATGAGAGGAGGGGTGGTAGAACTTCCACCCTGGGGCGTCAGGGGGGAAGCCTAGGAAGACACAGGGAGCAGCACGAGGGGACAGCTTGTCCGCAGACAATTTGCGGACAAACGCCCGAGATCCCCAGACACAGAACGCAGACGCATCGCCGACCTTCCCTGTCCACAACAGAGTTGGCCGCCGCGTACCGAACCGCAAACGGCCACTGAAAATGGGGGGCAGCCGCATGCATCATGGACGTACGAGCGACGTCCATGACCATGCCAATGCGGCGCTCAGCAATCCCATTTTGTTGTGGAGAGTCCGGAAGCGTAAAGGTCTGGCGGATGCCTTGTGTACGACAGTAGGCTCGCAGAAGGCCAGAGGAGAACTCCCCACCTCGGTTAGAGTGCAGACATAGAACAGGAAAGTCCGAGCCGAAGCTCCTCCTCAGCTGGAGACGAGCTGCACGGATCCAGTCGATCAACACCTCAGTGACATCACCCTTGCTGCGCAAGGGGAAGACTGTGGTGTAACGCGAGTAGTCGTCAACCACGAGCAGGAAGTAGCGCTCGCGACCCTGTCCACAGACGCGGGCCGGGCCCCACACGTCCATGTGAAGCGTCTGCAGAGGAGCCTCTCTCGGGTGAAACTGGGAGGAGTGAGGGGCAGCCCGGAGCCTCCCCTCGACACAAGGGACACAGGAAGGTCTTGGCCCCGAAGGAACGGGAGGGAGAGACCGGGGGAGACCAGAGACAAGGACACGGGAAGCCATGCCCCGAAGACGAGGCAAGGAGGGGTGGCCAAGACGGTGGTGCCACAGGAGAGTCTCGTGAGACAGGAGGCGACACGAGCAGGGGGCAGACTCAAGACCAGACCTAGACGCAGTAGCAAACACCTGACCCGACGCAGCTACCTGGCCAGACGCAGGGACAGGAGGAGATTCAGTGGTCGGGGTGTAGAGACTCGACCCCGGCCGACGCGAGAACGTGGCCAGGTGCCGGCCTGTGCGGGCGTCCGAGCAGTGGGTCACCCACTCACTCGCACGAGTAAATTGGTGAACCCCCGCATCCTGCAGGTCAGCACCACTCACCAAGTTCGTCGAGAACCAGGGGAGGTACAGACCAGACAGGGTGCCCGAGGGGGCAGCCGGAGACGGGAGGACAGTGGAGAAGTGAGAGAGGACAGGACCCCAAGAGGGGTCAGCCAGGGATTCTGCAACCGGACGACCAAGCGGCGTGAGTGTGGTACGGTCTCGAAAGAAGGAGGGAGAAGCCCCTGAGTCAAGTGTGAAGGTGAGGGAGGCCGAAGCCGACGCAGTACCTAAGAGTGCAGCCTCACCAGTACCTGAGAGCGCAGACGCACTGGCACCTGGAGCAACAGCTGCGGTGGCACCTAGAGCAGCAGCCTCACAAGCACCTAGCGCAGCAGTACCAATGCCCGGGTGGGGCGGGAAACACCAGTAACAGTCACCCTCATCACTAATAGTCACAGCATACATGGCAGCAACGATAGCATCAAAGTCAAGATCAAAGATAGCTACGCCAGCCCTAGACAGCTTTCCCCAGCGGGGGATCTCACTAGCCTCGGGGAACTGGTGACGCCAAGCGTCCGTCAGGCGGCCAAAGCAGCGCTGGGTGGGGTGGGCACCCCCACACTGCTCACCCGCGCGGTCGCTGGAACGAAGGACGTAGGTGCACGGACCAAAACCCCCACCACGCTGACGTTGCATCTACCACTCACGGAGCTGCTGAGGCGGGGGAATGTCCCGAGAACGCTGCTGCTGCTGCTGCTGGCGCTGACCACCACCAGCGCCGCTCCACTGCGAGGCACCACCCCGACCAGCTCCACCCCCTCCGCCACCGCCGTCTCAACCTCCGCCACCACCGCCACCTCCGCTCCCACCGCTGCCGCCGCCACCGCCTCCGCCCCCGGTGCCGTCACCACCACCACCACCCCCGCCACCACTCCCACTGCCACCCCCACTCCCTCCGCCGCCTCCACCGCCACCTCCACCGCCCCCGCCAGCTCCACCCGCGCCCTTGCCCCCCTTGCCCTTGCCAGGTCGGCGTCTCCCGCTAGGGGCAGACGCCGCGCCGACGGACTCAAGACCAAGCTGGTCGGCAGCAGCAGCAGAGGCAACAGAGGGCAGCAGGGGGGGAGGAGAACACCCCTCAAAGATGGGGGTGCGCGGGTCTCCACGAGAAGCTCCTACAGCGACGATGCTGTTCTCCGCCGCCAGGAGGGCCTTCTCGAGGTGGTCAACCGTGAGAGTGGTGGGACAGACTGAGAGGAAGTGGTCTGTGACTACGCGAAGGGAGTCATTGAGGCGTGTGACTATGTTATAGAGAGTGATGTACATGTGGGGGGAGTTCTTGGCGCAGAACTCAGCAGGAGGCGCGGCGCGGTAGCGAGTGTCACTAGTGCGGAGGTGCGTAATGAGGTCAGCGACTGTGGGAAAGGCAGCAAGGTCAGGAAAGAGGTACGGTAGCATGAGGCGGCTCAGTGCAGCAGTGGCAGGGGAAGAGTAGCGCGCAACTACAGCGTCGTACAAGGTTTGAGCACTCTTGTACTGACTAAAGTGCGCGCGCTCAGTGGTAGGCAGGTGGCGACGCATAGCAAGACGTGCAGCTGCATCGTGGGTGGCCACTGAGAGCGAACAGTGGGGTCAGCATCAGCAGCAGGGGCAGGAGAGGCGCCAGAGGTGAGGTCAAAGAGAGAAAGACCGTCCGCCCTATCGCACTGTAAAAATAGCTGCAGGTTGTCGACTCAGACCTCAAAGTCAATGGCTTGACCCTCAGCGTCAAAAGCGAGGACACTAGGCGTAGCCATGACAACACTAGACGAGCAGTGGAAGCAGTAGGGGAAGGGCACGCAGTGACAGAGGGGCTGTGCTCACTGGACAGGGCAGGTCGGGTGGCTCGGCAGTAGGGCGGCTCGGCTGCCGGGCGGCTCGGCGGCTGGGCAGCTCGGCGGCTCGGCGGCTCGGCTGCTGGGCGGCTCGGCGGCTGCAGCGGCCGGCGGCTCGGCGGCTCGGCTGCTGGGCGGCTCGGCTGCTGGGCGGCTCAGCGGCTCGTCGGCTCGGCTGCTGGGCGGCTCGGTAGCTCGGCGGCTCAGCTGCTGGGCGGCTCGGCTGCGCGGGCGGCTCGGCGGCTGGGCGGTTGGGCGGCTCGGCTCCTCTGGTACTCGGCGGCGCGGCGGTCGGCTGCTCGGGTGCACGCTGCAGGGTGGTGCGGCGGTCGGTGGCTAGGGTGGCGCGGCAGGAGAGGAGAGCGGCACGGCCGCAGCAGAGTGGCGGCGGGGCCGCAGCAGAAGGGCGGCGGGGCCGGTAGAGTCGGACGGCAGGGCCACAAAGTGGGGCGGCGGGGCCGCGAAGAGGGGCGGCGGGGCCGCTAAAGCAGGGCGGCGGGGCCGCTAAGGAAGGGCGGCGGGGCCGCGAAGGAAGGGCGGCGGGGCCGCTAAAGCAGGGCGGCGGGGCCGCGAAGTGTAGGGCGATGGGGCCTCTAAAGCAGGGCGGCGGGGCCGCGAAGTGTAGTGCGGCGGGGCCGCTAAAGTAGGGCGGCGGGGCCGTGAAGTGCAGGGCGGCGGGGCTGCGAAGTGCAGGGCGGGGGGGCCGCTAAAGCAGGGCGGCGGGGCCGCTAAGGAAGGGCGGCGGGGCCGCAATGTGTAGGGCGGCGGGGCCGCTAAAGGAGGGTGGCGGGGCCGCGAAGCGTAGGGCGGCGGGGCCGCGAATTGTAGGGCAGCGGGTCCGCTAAAACAGGGCGGCGGGGCCGCGAAGCGTAGGGCAGCGGGGCCGCGAAGCGTAGGGCGGCGGGGCCGCGAAAGCAGGGCGGCGGGGCCGCGAAAGCAGGGCGGCGGGGCCGCTAAAGCAGGGCGGCGAGGCCGCGAATCAAGAGCGGCGGGGCCGCGACAGTAGGGCGGCAGGGCCGCTAGTGGAGGGAAGGCTGCTAGGGCGGCTCGTCGAGTGAAGAGCCCGAGGCGCGACTCGGGATGAGCGCGCTTTTGGCAGTAAAAAAAAATGTTCGAAGTGGTGGGCCCTAGGCGTAGTTCCCACAGGGGAACCTGCTCGATACCATGAGAAGAGTTGAACGAGAATGGAATGACTAAGTGAAAGTTGGGTACAAATACAAACCCTAGAAAGTTGTACCCCATATGTGCTACCCCACTATAGCCTACAATAGCTATGTCATATATATCTGACACCAAATGCCACGTGCATTTTTGTACCCTCATCGTGTTGCCAACGCTGGGCATTTTATTTGCGCGGCGCGATGACTCAAACTGAAAGCAATGGACAGAGGCCGTCGACGAGTCAAACGCCCTTGAAATTCCAGTCAATGACTCGAAAAAATGTTGACCACTGTAGCTTATTCCACCTCCCTCAACGAAATTGGAAGAAACTCAAATCCCGTTTTCAATCCGACCCGATATGAGATTTCGCCGTTGTGCGTAGTACAAGCATCAATTTCAGACTCTGGTTATCTCGAATGTCTGGAAGAACCTTACCGTGTGTTTTCTTATTCCCACCAGTGATAAGCTGTCCTTCCACGATCACGAATCTATGACCAGCAAGCCTCGTAGTGACTCTGACAATCTGGTGAGCTCACCCCAGGGGCGCCACGTAAGATGACGCGATCCGCGGCTTGCTCCATCAAGCTGACGTGGCAAAATGCCGAAGTCGCTCGGCGGCAGGGCAGGGGGGCTTAGAAACGAGGCAAGAACGCAGAGGAATTTCAAATGTTCATACGAGCAGGAACAGTAAAACACGGGCGATTGCGCGACCGCTTCCGCCTGCTCGCGGAAGCGATCTGCCCGCGGGCAAGAAAAAAACTAAAACCCACTCGGAAGGCACGCGGCTCGGGAGGCATCAACCCTAAAATTTTAGGGTTGAGGCTCCCGAACGGCATGCCGGTCGCGATGGGGAATAGTTTTTTTTGCCCCGGGCAGAAAGCTTCCGCCGGCTCCGTGTCCTGGTGGATTCGACTTCCACCAGGAGAGGGACCTGGTGGGTTTGCGCCCACCAGGGCCCGTAGGAACTCGCGAGAGCGAAATTCCATTTCGATGTCGCGCAGCGACTCCGCCGCAGCGTGCCCCGTCGCGTCATGCTTCAACAATACGTGGCAGAGAAGGGAGAGGAAAGAGGGGGGCAGTGATGGCTCAGAGCACACGCGCAGTAAGCCCAAAAGTGTTTCCTGCAAAGTAGAGGAGATTCCTTTACATCAAGAAGATCTCTAAGCGCACACCTTGAGATCATCTACCCGGTCTTGGGACATATTAAGCCTGACTGAGTTTGCTGCTCGCTGAGCACGCACGCAGTAAGCCTCAGAAGATCTCTAAGCGCACAACTTGAGATTATCCACCCGCCCATGTCGTGGCGCTGCCTTGCTCCTCGCTGCGACTCGCAAACATGCGACTCGCATTGCGTGCAGTCTCGTTTCTTAGCTCAGCGATGGCGGCAGAGGGACAACAGCGAGACCCGCGCTTCGCCATGCGCAGCTTCACCACGCGCAGCTCTTCAGCGTGCTGCCACCCGTGACCCGCGATTGTTGCCATGCTCGCCGTGCCTGCCTCTTCCCCTGCATGTCGCCACATGTCCCCTGCCCTGCCCCGCCCTCCCCCCCCCTTGGCACCCCTTGCCCCCCCCTGCCGTGATTACTATGCCACGTTCGCCAAGTCGCCCTCTCTGTGTCACTCCATACCTCCACGTCACTCCATACCTCCGCGTCACTCCATACCTCCGCGTCACTCCATACCTCCGCGTCACTCCATAACTCCGCGTCACTCCATACCTCCGCGTCACTCCATACCTCCGCGTCAATCCATACCTCCGCGTCACTCCATACCTCCGCGTCACTCCATACCTCCGCGTCATTCCATACCTCCGCGTCACTCCATACCTCCGCGTCACTCCATACCTCCGCGTCACTCTATACCTCCGCGTCACTCCGTACCTCCGCGTCACTCCGTACCTCCGCGTCACTCCATACCTCCGCGTCACTCCATACCTCCGCGTCACTCCGTACCTCCGCGTCACTCCATACCTCCGCGTCACTCCGTACCTCCGCGTCACTCCATACCTCCGCGTCACTCCATACCTCTGCGTCTCACACCCTCGCACGTGTGCTGAGCCCTAACTCCCCTAACCACCCTACCCGTCTTCCCGCTTTCCCGGTCGCCCCAGGCACTCCCAGCCTTCCCGCCCCCACCCTCACAAGCTCAGATGTGCCATGCGGCAGGAGAGACATCCAGTGTGTTGCTCGCTCAGTCGCTCTAGTCTTTGTCCGCTCACTCGCTCGCTCTGCAGGCTCGTCTTTCTCCCACGTGTCATCTCATCTCGCGCCCGCTCAGTCACAGGTCGTCATCTCTCAGTCGCCTGCCTGCCCATTTCTACACAAGCCACTCCACTGCCCGCCGCTTCGCTGCTGTGTCGACTTATTGAGACGTCTTAAATTCTGCACAAGCCAATCCACTGCCCACCGCTTCACCGCCGTGTCAACCCCTCCCATCCCTCCACCCTCCCACGCTCCCAGCCTTCCCACCACGCACACCACTCCATCACCTCGTGGTTTCGTTCCGCCAGCACTCACCGCCTAGTTCCCCTCTGCTCTTACCACCTTTGCTCTTGCCACCTGTGCTCTTACCACCTGTGCTCTTGCCACCTGTGCCCTTACCACCTGTGCTCTTACCACTTGTGCTCTTACCTAAGCTGGAATATACGCGTTTAGCGTTTTGTATGCTTGCTGTATAAACGCTAGAGTATATACGCAAACCGCAGTCCCTGAGGGGTCTAGTACGCACAAGAATCCGCTTGCTCGGGCAGGAAAAAGGTTTTCCCCGTGCAGATTTTTGGGGTAAGAGGTGGGGATGGGGGGGGTGTTGTAACCCCTATCCCCTTTGTATTAATATGAAAGTTACTGGAAAAAAAAACCCTTAAAACTAATCTGTCGCTACAACTTCACCCACCTTAATCATGCTACTACCCCCCCATCCCCTACTCTACTCAGTTCCACCCTCCATCCCCCGCCTGCCGCTCATGCATGGAGCCTTCCATCCACTAGTACTCATCTGCCATCACATCATCCTCCCCCTCCTCAGGTTCCTCCACCTCCTCCGGGACGTTATAGCCAGCCGGAGTGGGGGAGTCCTTGATGTTTCCCTTCACCACCCCCAGCCCTTCAGGGGCCTTGTGCCAGTTGTGCACCACCTGCCAATTGTGCGTCACATACACCAGGTCACGAAGCTTCACCGCGCCGAGGCGGTTCCTCCTTACCGTATGCACTGCATCAAACTTCGCCCAGTTTCGCTCATATGGAGACGCAGACACCGGCTGCGTGATGGCGCGGCAAGCCATGGTGGTGAGCTCAGGATGATCGGTCCCGTGCCATGTCCACCAGTCCACCGCCGTCATCTTGCCCTCCTTCACTGCCTGGCGGTTGGCAATAGCGTCGGGCATGCCGAAGCTGCCTTGGAGGTTCAGGAAGGCATTGAGGCCTTCCTGGATGACGAGAGAGGCGCGGCGCTCGACCCCGTCCTTCCTGGTGACCGTCTTGTCACCATGGTGCTTGGAGACGTACTGCTTGAAGACCCTCGTGCACTCCAGGTCGGTGCGGAAAATGCACTCTTCCTGGTTGGTGGGGTAGAGGATGCGGCCAATCACGTGCAAGTTGCACGCTAGCCCGTTGTCCCAGCGGTCTTGCACGATCTCCCGAATATCCCCCACCTCGTCGCTTGTCAGGACCCCTTCCGCATGCTTGTCGAGGAAGTCGCGGATGTCCTCGGTGAGCTGGAGCATGAGGTCGTAGAGACGACCCATCATGCCCTTCGAATCCCAGTCAGTCTTGCGCATGACGACGAATGGCAGCCTCATCAGCTTAGTGAAGAACTCGGCGCGCGTCCACCACGCGGCATCGAGGATGTTGTCTTTGAATGTGTCTGCCCTAGCCGTGTCTACAGCCGCAGTCCACTCGGCCCACTCATCGCTGAGGACCATCTGCGTCAGGCCGGCGCGCACTTCACGGAGGCGATTGATGGCGATGTAGTTGGTGCCGAATCGGGTTCCCGCGGGCTTGAGAACCTGTTTCCCCTTGCCGCCGTTCACGAGCGGACTCCGCATGTATCCCCGGGTGAAGTGATGGTTGCGGACGAACGAGATGAAGGTGTCCCCGCGCGTGACGATGTCCTTCGCCCATCCCTTTTTCCCGATGTCCTCCATCAGGAGATCGAGGACATGGGTCGCGCAAGGGATGTGTTCAATGTGGGGATACTCGCGCATCAACACCCTGCATGCCGCTGCGTAGTTGGAGCCACCGTCAAAACACAAGGCGACGACATTCTCGGGGCCGACCTTTTCGATGATGGGCCGCAAGATGCCCGCGATGTAGCCCCCGGTCTTCATCTCCATCTTCGTGTCGATCGGCTCCACGAACACGGCTCCGCTATCGTTGATGAGGAGCACGTTGGCTTGCGGGCAGCCGGCCTTGTCGAAGAACATGTCGCTTGCCACGGTGACACTGTCACGGCGCCAGCTTGCTGAGATAGGAGTGAGCACCGCCTCAATGCGCTGGCGACACTTTGCAATGTTAGAGACTGAGGACGGAGTCTATGAAGATTAGTAGCAAAAATATCTCAACATCGTTGGGCCTAGTTTCTGAACAGAAAAGTCGAGTTCACAAGAAACGCCGTCGACGAAAAGTTCACAATCAAAACTTCATCAAACTCGAATATGTTGTAGCTCTACTCCGTGGCTACAATTCCCAAGTTGAATCATGCGAAAAGGTGAAGCATTTCTTGAGCTATCAATTTCGGCGCACTAGGGGGTATGCTGCCATAGAATCTTAACTCAATCACAAAAGTTCACACAAGAGAATTGGAGTAGCACTAAACCAGGTGGAAGGGATGAGGAGGACGAGAGGGAAGGTCCCAAGAGAGTCCCCAACCAAGGAAACCCCATGCCATACAATTCCCTTCCCCATAGGCAACCCAACTTTGACCTTTGTCACTATCCCAACCTCCACAATCCACCTCAACCCAACTTGGCCACACTTGCCAGCCTGGTTTGGTTTCTCCCAACCATTTGGCAGCAACTACAGTAGAAAAGACGAATTTCCCAACCCTCAAAAGTCTGTACCCCATATTGAGTCAACCCCACAACTTCCCATATTCACCACAACCAAATATAAAAAACATACGAACTCCAACATTCGTAACTTTCTTGTTCGTGCTCCGATTGAAGCGATACTTGGTTCCTCGGAAAGCTCTTGAGCAGAGGAGTCACTTCAGATATCTGCTCAAGCCAAATAACATTCACACACACACACATACACACACACTCAGAAAAACCAAACCGCACAAAACACAAATTTCTGCACACACTCACAACACGCATGCAACGCACGAACATATGATGGGAGGCAGACAGACGTGAATGCGAATGGTAGCATCACTCAACATGCAAGACCGGCGCCACTGATGTAGCGTCTCTTCGGCGCGACGTAATTCGGCCCCGCGCGCTGGATGCTGGAGACCACATTCCGCCACAGTGGGTGGTCCGCGTGATGCTCCGGCACATGAAGAGCGGCAAAGAAGAGGCTTATGGCCTCGTCCGCAGCTTGGTTCGCGCACGCGGCATCGTCGCCGTAGAAGTCGTTCATCCGACTCTTCTTCTTGTCCGAACCTCTGCCGTTGACTGCGCCGGCCGCCGCAACTTCGCTTCACGGGCCTTCAACTTGGACTCGTAAAGCGCCTTCACGGTGTCACGTGCAGTCTTCGGCGCTGCAGTGCAGAGATGCACTTCGCAACGGCGCATGCCGTTCCAGCTGGTGATATGGTGTGCGCAACGGTGAACCCCGCCAACAAACGTGAAGTTGCAGTAGGCACACACCTTGGTGCCGTTCTCGCCAACACTATTGGCCGGCACCTTGAAGTGACGGTAGACTGCGTGCTTGCTGTCCATGCAGACCAAAGACGTACTAGAAGAGGTCCCACCAGCGGAACTACCAGGAGACTCTGAAGGTGGCGTACGAGAAGTGGTTGCTGTAGGAGTGGAAGCCATGGTGGCTTGGGAAAGGACATAGCTAGGAATCGAGAGAATGAATGTCGAGGGAACAAACGCCTCTCTTTATGCCTGGGAGATTGGGTTGGGTTGAGCTCCCAACCAGTAAAGTAGCACTTGGAGGGGATGGTGGAATGCTGTGGTTCAAAGGGGTGTGAAACGTTTGAGGGGATGGGTTGATGAGGTTTGGTGCTCGAAATTCAAAATTTGAGTTCATTTCGCGACATCTGCGACTCGGAATTGAGATCGCCACGTCGCGAGCTTCAAATTGAATTTTTGTTTTTTTTTTTCGGTCTGCCCGAAATTCAACTCGGCGAATTTCCAAACTATATGCAACGTACGAATTTGACAAGCGTATCAACGCAAAACGCAAAATGAAAGTAGCGTATATTCCAACTTAGGCTCTTACCACCGGTGCTCTTACCACCTGTGCTCTTACCACCTGTGCTTTTACCACCTGTGCTCTTACCACCTGTGCTCTTACCACCTGTGCTCTTACCACCTATTCTCTTGCCACCTGTGCTCTTACCACCTGTGCTCTTACCACCTGTGCTCTTACCACCTGTGCTCTTACTACCTGTGCTCTTACCACCTGTGCTCTTACCACCTGTGCTCTTACCACCTGTGCTCTTACCACCTTTGCTCTTACCACTTGTGCTCTTACCACCTGTGCTCTTACCACTTGTGCTCTACCACCTCTGCTCTTACCACCTGTGCTCTTACCACCTGTGCTCTTACCACCTGTGCTCTTACCACCTGTGTCCTCCAAGCTCCGTGCTCCCCGGCTGCTCATCCGTCCCTCTCTCCTGCTTCTTCCCTTCCCATCACCGGGCAGGAGTGGCAGGAGTGGCACGACTGGCTGTGGCGCGGGCAGGGCTACTGCTAGCAGCGGTTCATGCTGCTATGACTGTATCGAGGCTGCTGTGACTGTATCGAGGCTGCTCTGACTGTATCGAGGCTGCTGCGACTGTATCGAGGCTGCTGTGACTGTATCGAGGCTGCTGTGACTGTATCGAGGCTTCTGTGACTGTATCGAGGCTGGTGTGACTGTATCAAGGCTGCTGTGACTGTATCGAGGCTTTTGTGACTGTATAGAGGCTGCTGTGACTGTATCGAGGCTTCTGTGACTGTATCGAGGCTGCTGTGACTGTATCGAGGCTTCTGTGACTGTATCGAGGCTGTTGTGACTGTATCAAGGCTGGTGTGACTCTATCGGGGCTTCTGTGACTGTATCGAGGCTGCTGTGTCTGTATCGAGGCTTCTGTGAGTGTATCGAGGCTGCTGTGACTGTATCGAGGCTTTTGAGACTTTATCGAGGCTGCTGTGACTGTATCGAGGCTTCTGTGAGTGTATCGAGGCTGCTGTGACTGTATCGAGGGTGCTGCTGAAGCATGGTCTGCTTGACAGCAGCGACGTCGCCCAGCTCCATACGCTGTGAGTGAGCGGGCAGGCTGCTGCTAGCAGTGGTTCACAAGCTTACTTTCTCACAACCACTGTGTATACTGCATGGTGACTTTTGAGTCGACTCAAAAGTCACCTTGCACCCCAAGAGTCGAGTGGAGTGGATTGGATTGGACTGGATTGGATTGGTTGCTTGGCTTGCTTGGCTTACTTTCTCACAACCAGTTGTAACACACACTTTGTACCACTGCATGGCACCCCAAGAGTGGATTGGAGTGGAGTGGCGTGGCGTGGAGTGGAGTGGATTGGATTGGTTGCTTGGCTTGCTGCGCTGGAGATTCATTTCTGCTTGCTTGGCTTGGCCTTCCCCTCTTCCCCCTTCCGCCTTCCGCTTTCCGCCTTCCACGTTCCCCCTTCCTTCTTGCCCTCCCCATCCCTCCTCCCCCTTTCCACCTTTCCTCCTCCCTTCTTACCACACCTCCCGTCAAGCTACCCCTTGGTCCGCGTGATGCTCCGGCACATGAAGAGCGGCAAAGAAGAGGCTTATGGCCTCGTCCACAGCTTGGTTCGCGCACGCGGCATCGTCGCCGTAGAAGTCGTTCATCCGACTCTTCTTCTTGTCCGAACCTCTGCCGTTGACTGCGCCGGCCCCCCCACCCTCGCAGCGGACGCAGGCGCACCCGCCAACAGATACATCGACAACGACGGTTCCGTTGCTCGCCGAAGTCGACGGACCCAGTGATGAGGATGTTGTGGAGGTTCTTTCCCCTTCCCCTGTCTTTGCTCCTCCGTTCCCCGTCGCACATCGGCCTGGGTCGGCACCTGTGACGCCCACCGTCGATGAGGGGAGCTTTGAGGCGTCGCCTGTGGCGCCGGCCCATGGCATCGCCGGCGGTCGACAGGGTGCCAAGCTCGTTGACCAAGATGCCAAGCCGACGACGACAGGGGAGCACCAGACAGGGGAGCCAGTCGAACAGGAGGCAACGGGAGGGGTACACTCGACAGGGGAGCAGCAGTCGGAGCGGCCGACAGGAGAGTTGTCGAAGGCAGCAGCAGACGAACAGCCGGTCGACGGGTCGAGGCAGCTGGTCGATGACGTTCTCGTCGACGAGAAAGGGGAGTCGGCGGGTGAGGAGTCTACCGACAGCGACGTGATGGAAGTGTCGATCACGAAGCCTGAGCTGCGACGCACAGGTCGAGCCCGACGGCCGCCGGAGCGGTTGAGCTTCCACGCCTGCCTACCGCCAGCTGCCTTCACCACGGTGTACGACGAGGTCGACGACGACCTGCTGTACGACGATGCCAAGGAGGATGAAGACCTGCCGGATCTCGACCCTGACGTGCATGTCGACCCCGAACACCGCTGGGACATCGCCACGATGACGGTGAAGGAGGCGCTGTCGAGCTGGAAGGGCGAGGCGGTGAAGGCCGCCATGGAAGAAGAAATCCGTAGCCTCATCGCTATGGGGACTTGGGAGCTGGTCGAACGCCCTCGCGGGGTGAACATTATGAAGAACCGATGGGTGCTGACGACCAAGTACCGCATCGACGACACCGTCGAGCGCGAGAAGGCGAGGCTGGTCGTAAAGGGCTTCACGCAGGTGTACGGCGCCGACTACGACGAGACGTACTCACCGGTGAGCAGCTACGTCACGCTAAGGATCTTCCTCAGCATCGTCGCCGTCCTCGACCTCAACCTGATGCAGCTCGACATGAAGAATGCTTTCCTGCAGAGCAGGCTTGACAGGGTGCTCTACATGTACCAGCCGGACTACTTCAACGACGGGACCGGCCGGGTGTGTAAGCTGTTGAAATGCCTCTACGGGCTGAAGCAGTCGCCGCTGCTGCGGTACAGGGCTCTCGACGGTGTGCTGCTGGGCGCTGGCTGGAAGAAGAGCTAGGTCGACGAGGCGCTCTACTTCAAGACCGGCGATGACGGTGTGACCTGCTAGGTGTTGGTCTATGTTGACAGCCTGCTCGCCGCTCGCAGCAGCACCGCGATGCTGAAGGAGCGGAAGGAGCTGCTGGAGGCCGCCTTCGAGCTGCGTGAGATCTCGCCGGTGGAGAAGTACCTTGGGCTGGAGATCGTGCGCGACAAGCCGGCCAGGAAGTTGTGGCTGCACAAGCAGGGCTACGTCGACAAGCCGCCCAGGCGCTTCGTCAACGAGGAGCAGGGCGGTCGAGTCCCGAAGACGCCGGTCTCGGTCGACGCCTACGCTCAGCTGACGTGCGACGACGAGGAGGCTCAGGAGCGCAAAGAGGAGGAGTACCGGCAGAAGGTCGGCTCGCTACAGTTCGTGGCGACAACGACGAGGCTGGACATTGCGTTCACCTGCAGCAAGCTGGGGAGCGGCCTCACGGTGAGGAGCGACCAGCATTGGCGTGAGGTCGGCTGTTGCCTCGCCTTCCTTGCTGACACCCGCAACACCGCCCTGGAGTTTGGCGGTGGACCAGAATCGTTGGAGCTGATCGGCTACGTCGATGCCGACGACGCGGGCGACAAGCAGAACCGTACGAGCACGGGAGGCTACGTGTTCGTCTACGGAGGGGCCGCCGTCTCCTGGTCGAGCTCGCGCATCAAGTGCGCGGCATTATCATCGACCGAGTCGGAGTACGTGGCGGCCACGGATGCCGGCAAGGAGGGGCGTCGACTTCGCTTCCTCCTTGCGGAATTCAAGCTGCTCGACGCCGGGAAGCCGACCATCCTCCGCGTCGACAACAAGTCGGCAATCACTGTCGCTGAGGGCTTGGGGCTGACAGGCAACCTCAAGCACATGGAGCGACGCTACGCGTGGCTGCAGCACATGGTGAGGCACGGGAAATTTGTGCTGAACTACATCCCAACCACCGAGCAGCTGGCATATTTCCTAACGAATGCACTGCATTTTCCGGCTTTCAACCGGTGCTCCGTCGCCATCGGACAAGTTCGTCTGGTCGACGTCGGCGACGGCGACGACGAGGTGCAGCAGTAGGTGCCGTGCCCTTCTGCACGGCTGGTGCGGTGACGGCATGCTGTGTGTGGGGTGCACGCCGAGGACGAGTTCTATCCGTGGAGTACTGCCGTGAGGGCTGGAGGCCCAAGCGTGAGCGCGGCAGGGGAGTGTTAACAGGAATGGAGTGTTGGCCCCGCCCTCGCTTGGGCAACGCCGACAACTTGGTCGGATGTACGGGAGTAGCAGCCGACCGCTCACAGTGGGATAGCTGCTTGACAGGTTACGCCGAGCTGCAGCGGACCGCTATGGTGTTGCTGTCAACCAGGATGCTCGACAGCTGCATCTGACTGGCCTGGGCGACGGGTGAGCCGTCCGGGAGGTCGACGAAGCAATCCCGTCGAAGTGCAGTTCGACCGGGAGGACAACGGAGCATCCCGTCGAACTGCAGTTCGACCAGGAGGTCGACGGAGCAGTTCTGGTCGACGGAAGGGGTCCGTCGACCAAGGGGTAGCTTGACGGGAGGTGTGGTCGACCAGGAGCGCCCGGTGGTCGACTAGAGGGACCCAGTGGTCGACGGGAGGCACCTGGGAGTCGACCAGAGCACCAGGGGTCGACCAGGTCGACCGGGTAACCTGCTCGACGAGTTCTGCGGAGGCACGCGAACGTCGTCAAGATTGCGATGGCGCAGGCGACTTCGGGCTGGTATCCCGAAGTCGATGTGGCTCGTCAGGCGCAGACAACAGCCGACGGATGCCCAACGAGGCAAGTCGGGCCAATCGTCTGCGCACACCTGCGAGCGCGCGCACTACTGTGTTCTACGGGGCACGCCGTCGACCTGCTTTGTTGGCAGGTCGCCCTTCTGCAATGCTGGCGCGGCTCCTCTACGCAATGCTGGCAGGCGGTTGACCGAGCTGCGTTGGCAGTCAACCAGGCTAGCTGCACGGTTGCTAGGTGCCTGATGTAGTCATTGTTGTCATTGCTTCTTGGATCATTCTGGAATTCCAACTTTGCTAGTGAAAACTCTTGCCAAATTCTTCCGTGAATGTGCAAACACTAAGGAACTAAGCAAAGCTAAGATCACCTCTAGTAGTTCGTGCCAACCCCTGTAGTCTAGCTCACTACCGTTGTAGAGTTAATCTCCACAACTCATTCATCTCACCGCGCTGGTTTCTTCTCACTATGCTCGTTTCATCTCACCTTGCTCGTTTCATCTCACCATGCTCGTTTCAGCTCACCATGCTCGTTTCATCTCACCATGCTCGTTTCATTTCACCATGCTCGTTTCATCTCACTGTGGTCATCTCATCATCCAGTAGCCCCCCATGGTACGACACCGTGAACACATCCTTCGCCACCACGCCCTGCACGCACATGCATGAGAGATGAGCCATGAGAGACAGATACGGTGATCATTGTGTGGGATGGAGCACATCTATGTGATCATTGTGAACACATCCTTCGCCACCACGCCCTGCACGCCATGCACGCCCAATCCTCCCCTCCGCCCTCCCCAGTCCCCCCACCCTTCCCCCCTCACTCATAGTGCAGGGCCGCTAGTTCCATGTGAGTCCCATGGCGAGCTGTGTGTCGGAATCCTGCTGCTATCTGCTGCTGCTCCAAGCTCCAAGCTCCCCGGCTGATAGTCCCTCCTCATTTCTCCCAGCTGATGCGGTATGCCTTGAGTGGCTGTGGCGGGGGCAGCGCTGCTGCTCGCAGTGAATCTTGCTGCTGTGATTGTATCAAGGCTGCTGCTACTGCTAAGAGTTGGTCCGCATGACGTCATCTGCTGGCAGGTACGTGGCTGATATCAATCAGTCCACTCCGATGCTTGGTAATGCAGCTGTTAAGGCTATTCCATTCCTAATGTCTGGGCATAGTAGCTTTGCTGCTTGTCATGCGATGGCTGTGAGCTATGCTGCTGCTTAGTGCCCACGGGCAAAGCTGTATTTTGAGGCACCTCAAAATATACCTTAGTGCCCACGGGCATAGCTCGGCTCACAACACCCATCACCGTTCGTTCTCTTGCTTGTTCTCACACCCCATCTCTCACCCCTGCTCTCATTTGTGTTCCCTGTCTCATATCGTACAGGCCCACTGGATGAGGAGATGAGATGAGCACAGCGAGATGAAACAAGTTGACTTTTGTGTCGACTCAAAAGCCATCTCTCTCCTCTGCTCTCATTAGTGTTGCCTTTGTCCTACCGTGCAGGCCCACTGGATGGGGAGATGAGATGAGCACAACGAGATGAAGCAAGCAAGCAAGCACGGTCACTCACACGCTTGTGTTGTGTCCCCACTCCCCACTTCCACCCACATCCCTTCTTTTGCGGAGCTGCACACCTCATTCTGTTGTCTGTGTGTTGTTCGCATCACCTGTCCCTTATGCTCCGCTGCTGGCTGTGTCACTCAATCATTGGGGCACCACTGCTGCCCGCCCATCATCAGTAAACACCCCCCTGTTCCACTCAATCTCATCATCAGTAAACACCCCCCTGTTCTGACACCCTATCTGCCGCTTCGCCCATCCTGAGCGAACCGGTTTTTGAGAATTCTCAAAAACCAGCTCATCATCAGTAAACACCCCCTTGTTCTGACACCCTATCTTTCTTTTCGCCCATCATGATTCCCCTCAGAACGCTAGTGTTTCCCCTCTTCATCTTGCCTCCCATCCCTGCTCCACCTCGCATCCCTCTCAACCGCTCTCAACTACTTTTTCTGTCCCCATTTTTCCAGGCTGACGCCTAGTGCGCTCAAGCTCAATCCCCCTCGTGCTGTATCTCCGCTTCTTGCTTTACCCTCTCCGTCCCCACTCCCCTTCACCTTGGCATCCTGGCATCTAGCTCACTCTCACCGCCCGCCCTTATCCAGGTGCCTTTTGAGTCGACTCACTGGTCACTCCCCTTCACCTTGGCATCCTGGCATCTAGCTCACTCTCACCGCCCGCCCTTATCCAGGTGCCTTTTGAGTCGACTCACTGGTCACTCCCCTTCACCTTGGCATCCTGGCATCTAGCTCACTCTCACCGCCCGCCCTTATCCAGGTGCCTTTTGAGTCGACTCACTGGTCACTCCCCTTCACCTTGGCATCCTGGCATCTAGCTCACTCTCACCGCCCGCCCTTATCCAGGTGCCTTTTGAGTCGACTCACTGGTCACTCCCCTTCACCTTGGCATCCTGGCATCTAGCTCACTCTCACCGCCCGCCCTTATCCAGGTGGCTTTTGAGTCGACTCACTGGTCACTCCCCTTCACCTTGGCATCCTGGCATCTAGCTCACTCTCACCACCCTAATCTAAACAACTCTGAAATTTGTGAAGACGCGTGTAGAAGTATGCCTCGTTCGCCTACCAATCTTCAACCCCGCCCACCGATCTCGTGTCCCTCTCTATCTCTCTTATATGATCCCTCCCTCCCTCCTCTCCCTCCCTTACCCCCCCTCCTCCCCTCTCCCCCCCTCTCCCTTACACTCTCTCGCTGCCAGAAATCAAAGCAGAGGAGAGCTACTAGTCTCTTGATGCACCTTATAACGAGTAAGAGAGCTACTAGTAGATACCAACAGCAGCGCTGCACACATGACAGGGCTGGGCATTCTACTTCTCTCCTGCTCTGCTGCTCTGCTGCTGCTACTCCGGCTAGGATTCTTCACTACTGAACAGCTTGTGTTATGCATCCATCCATCCATCTCTATTTAACTCGGAGCATGATTGGTTGAACCCACCTCCATGAGCATTGAGCATACACACTACCTCCAGGTGAGTATTTTAAACTTCAGTGCGGATTTTGTGTGCAATTCCAGCACAGATTGGTGTTCCATGTAGTAACCAGATTAGGCTCTCTTGTTATGAGAGCGCAACGAGGATGACACACAAAAGAGAAGAATGTACACACAATCCAACATATCGAAACAAAATACGGCACACAAAGAGCCATCCCGCCCTTGCACCCTACACATGCAGTACACACACAGCTGTCCAGACTGGGTACGTGATTGAAGAAATGTTGTGAGACGTCTCAAAACATTTCTTCAATCACGCCCTTGCACCCTAGACATACAGTACACACACAGCTGTCCAGACTGGGTACCTGCTACAAGCTTGGGCGAAGCATGTGCGGTGAACATACAGCTGTCCGGTCCAGACTGGGTACCTGCTACAAGCTTGGGCGAAGCATGTGCGGTGAACATACAGCTGTCCGGTCCAGACTGGGTACCTGCTACGAGCTCGGGCGAAGCAGCACTACACTGATGCATCAGCGCCCATGCACCAGTGAGCGTGCTGCTGAAACAAAGCTCTGGCAATGAAACGAAACAGGAAACCCCTAACGCCTCTTGCGGCAACGCTACTGAGACCCCTACGCTAGCTGCCACCCCCCGAAGCATCCATGTGGTGGTGAAGCCAAGCCACCTACAAATCGTATGGTACCGGTATTTTTCCTTGCGGCCTCAACGCCCCATCCCCCCATCCATTTTACCACCCATGCCTCCGCTAATTTCCGCCTACCACTGCCCTCCTCCCTGTGGTGAGGGAATGTCTTGCATCAAGGAGAAAACGGCCCTGGTCCACCCATCCCGCCTCCCATGTTGCCCCCAGCTCCCCCCATCCCTGCCCCCATCCCTCCGCCCATCCCTCCGCCCATCCCAGGTCCACCCTGGCCGGGTGCTGCCTGCGACCCTGGAGCAACCCACCCTGACCCGCCCATTCCTCCGCCGCCCATGCCTCCGCCGCCCATTCCGCCGCCCATTCCGCCGCCTCCCATTCCGCCACTGCCCATTCCACCCCCGCCCATTCCGCCGCCACCCATGCCGCCGCCGCCCATGTTTCCCCCAGGACCCATGGCTGCTTGTGATCCGGGAGCAGACGACCCAGGTCCGCCCATGCTGCCCATTCCGCCGCCGCCCATTCCGCCACCGCTCATTCCGCCGCCGCCCATTCCACCGCCGCCCATTCCGCCGCCGCCCATTCCGCCTCCGCCCATTCCACCGCCACCCATGCTGCCGCCGCCCATTCCGCCGCCACTCATTCCTCCGCCGCTCATTCCGCCGCCACCCATGCCGCCTCCGCCCATTCCGCCGCCGCCAATTCCGCCGCCGCCCATTCCGCCTCCGCCCATCCCACCGCCACCCATGCTGCCGCCGCCCATTCCGCCGCCACTCATTCCTCCGCTGCTCATTCCGCCGCCACCCATGCCGCCTCCGCCCATTCCGCCGCCACTCATTCCGCCGCCGCCCATTCCGCCGCCACCCATGTTTCTTCCAGGATCCATGGCTGATTGCGATCCGGGAGCAGAGGAACCAGGTCCGCCCATGCCCCCTCCAATTCCGCCACCGCCCATTCCGCCGCCGCCCAGTCCGCCGCCGCCCATTCCGCCGCCACCCATCCCTCCGCCGCCCATTCCGCCGCCACCAATGCCGCCGCCGCCCATTCCGCCGCCACCAATGCCGCCGCCGCCCATTCCACCACCGCCCATTCCGCCGCCGCCCATTCCGCCGCCGCCCATTCCGCCGCCACCCATTCCGACGCCGCCCATTCCGCCGCCACCAATGCCGCCGCCGCCCATTCCACCGCCGCCCATTCCGCCGCCGCCCATTCCGCCGCCGCCCATTCCGCCTCCGCCCATTCCACCGCCAACCATTCCATCGGCACCCATTCATCACAAAAAACAGGGTCGGAAACCTGGACGCGTTCGGTTGGAAATCTGTTTGCCTTTCGGAAATCTGACGGGAAACCGTGGATTTCTTCCGTCAGAAATCAGACCACTGGATTGATGGTGTTGCCTGCTGATTTCATGTCAGATTTCTGTCGGACAAGTACCAACAATTTTCCGATGGTTGGCTTTGAGAAATCTGACAGTTTCCAGGCTAGTCGCGCTTCGGTCGAAACTGATTTCCCCTACAATAAGTATGATAAAAAATCAACTGTAGACTCAGTACACTGCGAAGTGTAGGTTTGAATACGTACATATAGAAAAGCAATTACCAGCAAATTTTCATCCACATTTAACGTTTCATTATAGTCACATAAAATATTGACAATACTGTAGGAAATTTTTGCTACAGTATTCTTCCTGTATAAATTAGGCATTTCATTTTGTGCTTATTAGGCTCTTTATTACAGGTGTAATGGGCATTTTACTTCTGGTGCCAATAAGGCTATATTAATAAAAAAACATTTACAATTGAAGCAGTACATACAACACAAGAAACCTCTTATGGGTCATCAAGAATAGCACAACACAAGTACAATAAGAACAGAGAAACTAGGAAGCACCATATAGGTACACGGAATAACCTGCAGACATTGCTGCTGCAGCAACAGCATAACAGAACTCCATGGTACCTGCCGCAGGTGAGGCAGAACGATAAGCAAGGAAAACATCACGTTACTTCCTCACGTTAGCCGGAAGAATAGTAGCAGAAGAACTATTACGGAAAAACGTACCGGTGCGTGAATTGGCGTCACCAATTAACTACTAATCTGGGGTACAACTTGATCTGCAATCCTAGCAAACAATAAACAGAGCAGATAATCGAACTGGATTAGTCGACCGTTTGAAATGCGAATGCTCAAGGAAATAAGGTTTAAGAAACAGAGCAGATAAGAAAAACGCGCGCCAGCCGTGATGCCCAACTTTCACCCACTGATAAGTGCTGCACCAGGAAAAACACGATGACGAGGTGGTTAAAAGAGCTACTAGAAGTCGATGGCTTCAACAATAAACCGAGGCCAAATACCGTACCTGCTAATAGGCATGGAGCGTGGTGAGCTGGACAGGAAGGAAGGAAACCTGATAAAAACTGGAAAAAGTGAACGGAGAAATGACGAAAGGGAGGGCTGAAAGAGAACGACGGGAGGGATCACTGAAAACGGCGCACCAGCTGCTGTTGCTCTTGCCCCGTCAGCAGGGCAGATTGGGTTGTGCTGGGTGGGGTGTGCTGTTGGGGGAGTCGCAGGTGCGCTGGAGGTCGCAGGTGCGCGCTGGCACTTGCGCTGGCAGCAGCTGCACAGTTGGCAGTTGCACCAATTGCGGAGCTCCACTCTTTTGCAGTCCAGCGCAACTGCGCTGTGTTGCGCAGTTGCGCTGGACTGCAAAAGCGCGCTATGGTACAAGGCGCTGGGCAGCAGCGCGCTGGGTGTACAGAGGGCAATGGTACACACAGCGCAGTTGCGCTGGGCAGCCTTGCACAGCTAGCGACTTGGCAACATGCTGTACAGCGCATGTTGCCAGCGCGCTAAGGAAACATCGAACCAATCAGAACAAATGCTATCGCCAACAATAAAAATCTACACCAATAACAGCACACTTTTCCGATGACGTGTGTAGAAATGACGCGCAAACAGCGATCCTGGATATGACCAGCTCGATGGCCCATCGTAACTCTCCTCTGCTTCCAGAATAGTGAATGCGTCATAATAATACTTGCTGATACAAGATCTTCACGCGTTTCAAGATCCAAAGTCTTGTTCCCACAAGTATCACAAATTGTTACGAACATAAGCGGACTTTACCCATCTCAACTGTTTGCTGCGAGAACCTCAACCTTTTACATTTTGATTGCTGCTAGATTATTCTTACATTCGAAATAATAAGTTTTCAATCATCAATAAATTAGTTACATGACGAATTTAAGGAGTATTTTTTGGTTTCATATCTAATATATGTGTTTCAAGTGCCATTATTTTCTTAGAAAATGAATTCTTGAACTAGTCGATACATCTAACCTACCACTACAGGGAGTCACTAAGCAACAAAGGTGGACTATGGAGGAGGGCACGGGGTTGTGCGAGTGATCGTAGCATTCTGCTGGAGTTCTTGCTACTTGCAAATGAAAGTTGGAAATTTGCCAAGAGTTTCCACTAAGGAAGTTGAAAGAACAACTTGCAATGAAAAGTTGATAGCAAAGGTTAGGATCGACTTTCGCCAATCAGTAATGTACGTAATTCCGGATAAGAATATGCTTTGATACATCTAGCCATTTTACGTCTACAGAGAGAAAGAGAGAGAGCGAGAGAGAGAGAGAGATACAGAGAGTGTGTATATGTGTGTGTGTGTGATAGAGAGAGAGAGGAAACGAGAGAAAGAGAGAGAGAAAGTGAGAGAGAGAGAGAGTAAGAGAGAGAAAAAGTGAGAGAGAGAGAGAGAAAGAGAGAGAGGGAGAGAGAGAGAGAGAGAGAGAGAGGAAACGAGAGAGAGTAAGAGAGAGAGAAAGTGAGAGAGAGAGAGAGTAAGAGAGAGAGAGAAAGTGAGAGAGAGAGAGAGAGAAAGAGAGAGAGAGAGAGAGAGAGAGAGAGAGATAGAGAGAGAGAGCAAGAGAGAGAGAGAGAGAGAGAGAGAGAGAGAGAGAGAGAGAACGTCCAAATGCCCTTTTTACCACTATTTCTTCACACAGTTCTCTACTGTATCCTATTTCCTAGCCATAGGAACTGGTTTGACCTCGTTAGCACAACTACGCAGCACGGGGCGCATGTTTGTGCATTTGTTGGCCTTAAACAGTGCAAGGATAGGCATGTGCGCAACACGTCACTGCGCCAACGTCTGGATGCTTTTTTTAGCACTATTTCTTCATACAGCTCCCTACTACATCCTATTCCCTAGCCACAGGAACTTGTTTTACCTTGTTAGCACAACTACGCAGCACGTGGCGTATGCTTGTGCGTTCGCTGGCCCGAATCTGTGCAAGGATAGGCTTGTGCGCAAGATATCACTGCGTCAACATCTAAATGCATTTTTTACCACTATTTCTTCACACAGTCCTCTACTACATCCCATTACCTAGCCATAAGAACTGGTTTGACCTCGTTAGCCCAACTACGCAGCACGTGGCGCATGTTTGTGCGTTTGCTAGCCCGAATCCGTGCAAGGATAGGTCTGTGCGCAAGATGTCACTGCGCCAACATCTAAATGCCCTTTTTAGCACTATTTCTTCATACAGTTCTCTACTACATCCTATTATCTAGCCATAGGAACTGGTTTGACCTTGTTAGCACAACTACACAGCACGTGGTGCATGTTTGTGCGTTCGTTCGCCCGAATCTGTCAATGATAGGTCTGTGCGCAAGATGTCACCGCGCCAACGTCTAAATGCCATTTTTACCTCTATTTCTTCACACAATCCTCTACTACATCCTATTACCTAGCCATAGGAACTGGTTTGACCTCGTTAGCACAACTACACAGCACGTGGCGTATGCTTGTGCTTTCTCTGGCCCGAATCTGTGCAAGGATAGGTTTGTGCATAAGATGTCACTGCGCCAACGTGTAAATGCCTTTCTTAGCACTATTTCTTCACACAGTTCTCTGCTACATCCTATTACCTAGCCATAGGAACTGGTTTGACCTCGTTAGCACAACTACGCAGCACGTGGCGCATGTTTGTGCGCCCGCTAGCCCGAATCTGTGCAAGGATATGTCTGTGCGCAAGATGTCATTGCGCCAACGTCTAAATGCATTTTTTAGCACTATTTCTTCACACAGTCCTCTAATACATCCTATTATCTAGCCATAGGAACTGGTTCAACCTCGTTAGCACAACTATGCAGCACGTGGCGCATGTTTGTGCGCTCGCTGGCCCGAATCTGTGCAAGGATAGACCTTTGCGCAAGATGTTACTGCGCCAACGTCGAAATGAATTTTTTAGCACTATTTCTTCACACAGTCCTCTACTACATCCTATTACATAGCCATAGGAACTGGTTTGACCTCGTTAGCACACCTATGCAGCACAGGGCGCATGTTAATGCGTTTGCTGGCCTAAAACAGTGCAAGAATAGGCCTGTGCAATCATGAGATTGACAAATTAGTTCAAGGATAGGCACAGGAAGCGGTGAATCTTTTGTGCACGCATTTGTTTTTGTACTGCTTGAAAATCATGAATTTGTATAGCGTGCTTTAATATTGTCGTCGACGATTATAGATATCATTGATTTTTTTTATTAATTGGCGAGAAATACACATCAAAATGATATTCCTAATTGCCTATTTTAGCTCTCAGACATGAGATATTAATTACAAGTAGCTTTATTTATACATAAGTCTTAGGCTTTGAAATATACTGAAAGTCTCGAGTGTATGCATCTCAAATATATCAATTTTGCACTACTCCTTGCCTCGCCGCCCACATCTGCATTCCTGTCAGAAATCTGCCAGAAATCAAGAATTACTGTTCATTCTTGACGCGACTCGGGTGCACCCGAACATTTCGGTCAAGCACACCCTGCCTCATGGATTTCCGTGCGGAAACCAGCGGATTTCCGTCAGAAATCTGTTGGAAGTCCGAATCTGCCAAAAATATCGAATGCCACTGTGAAATGACTCATTTCGACCCTCGGAAACCTCGAAGCTGAACCGGGTTTTTTGTGATGTTCCACCGCCACTCATTCCGCCGCCACCCATGCCGTTTCCGCCCATTCCGCCGCCACCCATTCCACCGCCACCCATTCCGCCGCCTCCCATTCCGCCGCCGCTCATTCCGCCGCCACCCATTCCGCCGCCACCCATTCCGCCGCTGCCCATACCGCTTTCACTGATTCCGCCGCTCTGCTGCTGCTGCTGCGGCTGGCCGGTCGAGCTTCCGCCTCGTGCCCATCCGCGCATCATCCCGCGCAGCTTGTCCGCGCGGAGCCCCGCGGAGAAGCGATAGGCCAACGCCG